TATACCAGAGGAATCAGAAGTGCAGAATCCATAGCGGCGTAGCGCAGCTGCTCTGTCCGTAGCGGGCGCGTACTCCAGTCACTGCACTGGTTCTCTTTTGACATGTATAGTCCCAGCATCACATCCACACACGCCTGTAGCCCGTTGCTGCCCATGGTGTCTATTCGGATGTTCTTGAGTTTCTACGTGTAGTGGGATATAAAACAGTACATATCGGTGCTCTACTTGTAAAATAATCCGTAGTTCGAACATCTGTATGCCCGAGGAGGCAAACGACGTACACGTATAGGCACCACTTCAGGCTTAAGTGAATACCTATACGTATCGAATGCACATCCACATACACATACAACATATCCCACATCAAACATGTACCACTTCTGATTGAACTCTCACAACCGACAACTCGTGCATATAGCTACGGACCGACAACTCGTGCGTATAGCTACTGACCGACAACTCGTGCATATAGCTACGGACCGACAACTCGTGCATATAGCTACGGACCGACAACTCGTGCATATAGCTACGGACCGACAACTCGTGCATATAGCTACGGACCAACAACTCGTGCATATAGCTACGGACCGATAACTCGTGCATATAGCTACGGAACGACAACTCGTGCATATAGCTACGGACCGATAACTCGTGCATATAGCTACGGAACGACAACTCGTGCATATAGCTACGGACCGATAACTTGTGCATATAGCTACGGACCAACAACTCGTGCATATAGCTACGGATATGTGGATGTTACAACCCTAGGCATGGCAGCCTTCGATATAATGAATAAGTTCTATGCACACACTCGAGTACCTGTCGTTTCTTCTTCAGTTCCTTCTGCCGCTTCTTCTCCAGCTTGCGCTCCTTTCGGGTCATGGGCTTGATGGTCGTTTGTGCAGTTTCTGTGGGTGGAGTCCCGCATGTCCTTTGTTGTGTGTTGCTTGGTTCATCTCGCTCATTACTTTTAGTATTCTCATGCTTAGTCGTATTACAAGTATTACTTGTTGTATTCTCTTGCTTAGTCATAATACTAGTATGACTTGTATTCTCTTGCTTAGTCGTATTACTAATTACTTCATCTGTGGACTGAGTCCTATATGTCCTCCGTTGTGTGCTGCTTGGTTCATCGCGCTTAATATCTACTACCTCCTTGTGCATACTACTATTTACTTCTTCCCATGTATCAGTGGTTTGATGCTCTCCAAGGTGAGCTTTGCCAGCATGCTCTGTGTCTGTGTCTGGTGTGTCAGGTGTGTGCGTCTCTGGTGTGTCTGGTGTGTGTGTAGGTGTGTCTGTTGCGTGTGTGTGTGGGTCTGGTGTCCTGGTGCGTTCCTCCGGTGAGCGTGTGTGTAGCTCAGTGTAGAGTTTCTGCACATCCACGAAGTTCCTGAGTTCGTCAAACGCATTGGCCCTGCCATGGCCAGATCCATGGTACAGTACACGGTGGTCCTAAATTGAACGCGTAAATTGTGATGAGCGTGAAGCGCTTAATTATACTGGTAAAGAGAAGTGTATATA